ATCATAACTTCAAAATGACTGCGGCTCATTCAAGGCTTATATAAACCAAATATGTTTGATACCTTCGCTTCTTTTAGCTTCAACACATCTTCCTGCATCTTTTTCTTTTCTTTCTCGAGTTCAGACATGATTCGTATTTGATTAAGTTTTGTTTCTTCGAGGGCCTGACAAACAAAGTTAAAAAATAKAAGATATTACAGATGTGTGTGTGATACGAGTGGATCCACRGGCGAAGCAGAATATTGATTATAATTTTAACTCCCTTCATATAACATCATAATTTAGTCCAGTTCTGTGTTAATAGATACCTGTTTAGCCGCGAGGGCTTCCATTTGAAGTTTCTTTCGATTACCCAGAATTTCTTGCTCCAACATCTATGGAGTAATAATAGAAAATAAATATTTGTCAAAGAAATCGTTTAAACATGGTCTTAAAAATACTTKCCTGTCTGTGTGCCTGCAGTTCAGATATCACGTCTTCCTTTGATTGGTTGGACTTTTCCGCGTCTTCTTTCTTTTGATTTAGTTCGTCCTTTAAAAGAGAAATGTTTTCAATACTCCAATTTCGAGTTCTGGTTTGCTCTGTGTTAGTCTCAAAACCAAGCAACATATTCTTTTGTTTCATTGATAGCTCGAGAAAACGCATGGAATTTTGCGAAGAAAGACAATAAATTTGATTTGAAATCTCACACTTTTACGCTCACAATAAAGAATATTTTGTGCACAAATGAGGCTAACACAGAGCATTGGAGAATTCGAAACTGGAGTATTCTAGTAGCGCAACAAATGGAGATTCAGACGCATCGAGGAAAGCGGAGAGAACAGTGATTTTCCTCCGATAATAAACTACTAACGCCAGGAACGTAAAGAAATTTTCTCTTTAGCGCTACACAATTTACGCCTTTCTTTACTGGTTCACAGAAACACCGAGGCAGGGAATATTATTGGTAGAGTGGACGTCCTAAATCCGTGAAGACAAAAGAAAACAAAGGAATAATCATAATTCATTTCTATCATAATTCATTTCTATTTTTTTTACTATTTTTTCTTCAAGCATTATTACGTGCGTTCACTCTATACCACTGATTGTCTTAAATTTTTAAAGAGCACTTACAAGTTTTCTTTGAAGTTCGTCGTTTCGTCGTTCGTACTCGGATTTTTGACGCATAAGCTCTTCAGCTGCTGCTTCCTGGATAGTAAAACACAATTCATTAAAATGCTGGTGTTTATTGAGGAAATTCTTCAATGAAAAGCAAACTAGGATATATAAAGATACTTTTTAAAACAAGTGCCGATTTTTACAACAAACTACAGTCGAAGAAAAAAGTCATTAAAACAATTACGGAAACAACAACAACGCACTATATGGGAAGCAGTAGCACCTTGCTTAGTGAATGCAACAAAGCATGGTGGGAAATATAAACCTCGGACGTTGCTTTTTCCGCTAAAGAGACCGCTAGGAAAAGCTAGGTTACTGTAGGAAATCTTTACTGAGCGAGAAAAACAAAAAAATAACCCTGCTTTTGTGAAGTATTGAGCGAGCACAAGCGACAGGACTTCAATAGTAAACTGTAGAGACTGTGTACAAAAGAACGCACTCGAGGCTCGGGAAAACAATGGATAATCTTGATTTATTCTTTTATTTCCCCAAAATAAAGTCGACTATTCATTTCCCATCATCCTTTGTTATATAAAATGGCGTTACTGTAACGTGGTGAAGAAAATTTACACTCATACTTTTTCCTTCTGTATCTGTTTCATGATTTCCTGTTGAGCTTGCAGCCTGGCCTCTTCCCTCGCCTCTTCCCTTGCTTCTTCTAGTTCAGCTTGAAGTCTAAAAAAGATCCGCCCTATTTCACTATAACGTCACAGTATGTTGACATTGGAAAACTATGCTCAGAAACTTTGGAAATTTGGTTCTATTTATACTTTCATATATTCCATATCTACCTGTCGTTCTGCACTTGAGCAAGTTCATTTCTTGCAAACTCGAAGTCCTTAACGGCGGCGATGTCGTTTGATCCAACTTCAGTAGTTTGACCGGCGCGAATTTGCTCTTTTCTTCTCTTACTTTCAATTGGATGATTAAGTCTGTAAAACAGCGAAAAGTTAAAAAGGGAATTTTCTGTTGTCGCTAAAATAGAAGGGAAGGCTGGCAGGCACTTAAAACAGAGACAGACCGACAGATACTGAAATAGACAGATAGACAAAATCTTACCTGAAAAAGTGATCTCCACCAATGACCAGTCGATCACCCTAAAATAAAAGATAATCACAAGTATCTTTAAGGTTTATCTACAAAATAAACAAAGCAAAGCTCCTCCAAACTATGCATCAATATAA